CAGAAGCTGCCGGGCTGAAGCTCCTCCTTCACCTCCCACTGCCCACACAACAGGAGCAGAAATGGGAGGGGGAGTAGCTGCTGGAGGTGAGGGGAAGCTGGCTTGGCCTGTTTTTCTGCCCTCATTTCCAGCTGTGGCTCCTGCTTCTGCCGCACCGTGCAATGCTGCTCAGGGCATGCATGGAAGTTTCAGCCTGGTGGCTTCAGGCCAGTGCATGGAGCTCTGGCTCCCGTTTCGGTTGCCTTCCATCTGCTCCGCCTGCCCGATGCCATGAGCAACCCATGTGGGCAGAACAGGTGGAAGGTGTCTGGGAGCTGGAGCCAGAGCCCCATGTGCTGGTCAGAAGCTTTGGGGCCGAAGCTTCTTGCTTGCCCACCCAGACAAGTGTGGCAGGGGCGGCAGCAGTGGTAGCTGGAGGCAAGCGAGGCAGAACAGCACCCCCAGCCCTGCCCAGGCCATAGCTTGCAGCTGCAGCCACCGGGTGCTGGACAGGACAGGGCACAGCAGTGGCTGTAACAGGTGGCTGCTGGGCTTGGTGCCTGCTGGCCCTTCTGAGCTGGCCTGGGCAGCCCACTACCTGGCCAGCTCCCACCCATGCTGCCGGGCCAGGCTGTTATGGGGCCGCAGCTGGGTGGGAAGGGCCTGTCCCCACAGCCCAGGCTGGACCGGCCCCAGGGGTCCCTTCCCAGCCAGCTGCAGTTCTGTAACAGCCCTACCTGGCCTGAGTGCGGGGAGCTGGGAGCATTCTGGCCGCACAGCCCCCACTGTCGCAGCATGAGATGCAGCTTGCTCAGAGGGGCCCAGCCCAGCCCGTGCTGTGTCTGCTGTCAGTAGCACCCGCAGGTCAGCTTGGCTCAGCCCCGCAGCTGCAGCCCTGGCCCTGGCCCTGGGCAGGTAGCAGGGCCATGCCAGCCAGCTGTGGCCAGGCCCCCTGCTGCAGGAGCAGTGGGGAAAGATGGACAGACCCTGGCTGGGGTCCTGTACCCACCCGGAGATGGGAGTTTAATTCTCTCCCAGCCCCCGCCCCCCTTTTGCCTCGGGTGCTGCCCCAGCTGGTGTCCGGCTTTCGGGACAAGTCTAAAAGGGCTGCTTCCCCCCTTCCCCTCCCCCTCCGAGCACATCCTGACTGGAGTCTCTACAGGCCAGGGTGGGGGTTTAAACCCCACCCCAATCATACTTAGGGGGGAGGGTGGGGCTGGCCACGCCCTCCAGGTCAGTTTCCCTCCAGCCTTGCGGCTGCTGTTGAAGGGAAAGGTGGGCTGCTCTAGCACCTCTTGGCTTCCAGCCTGAGTCATTGCAGGCATGTGCCTGCATTTCTGGAATCAAAAGTGAATATCTATTAATTTCCAAATTGGTTCAGTCTTTGCAGGTTAGACTAACCTGCAAAGACTGAATCAATTCAGGCTCTGGCTTTTTGAATATCTGTCCCTAGCCTTTCAGGGATGGCTCACGGACATTCTAAAACTGACCATTTCATTCAGATTCTCTCTTCTAGCACCTCCAATCTCTGAGCCCCTGTTCTATTGGAAATCTAATTAGTCCATAAGTGCGTGACTTTTGAGTTTGAGCTATTACATTTTTGTACAATTTCTGTTATTTTAGTCCATAAAACTATCTGTTCTTCCTGCAGGGGTGGTCTTCTGTCTAGGAAGACCATCTAGCTAAGCATCATATGCATTTCTTAAGCACAGTTAAATTCCTGCATCCAAGATACTAATGAAAACTTTTTAACAGTTAGTCTCAGGAACCTGAAAAACACCACTAGTAATCTATCTCTAATCTTATAACTCCCTTTGTTGGTATAACCTGTTGTACTGTCCTTCTCAGCCATATCCTTATATATTATGCACTTAGTTTTATTACCCAATTTTGCCAATACTTTTCTAAAAGGTACAATATCAAATACTTTGCTTAAATATAAATGGGTTAGGGCCACTGTATTGCTTTTTTTAAGAAAACGGTGATTAAATTCATCTAGCACAGTCTTCATGGACAAAATCCTGGTGTGTTTTAACTTGTTTTTAAACCTCCATGGCTGCCTTATTCTTGTTTTCTAAGACTTTGTCTTTCAATCCTATGAAAACTAACGGGATTATAGTTGCATTGTCGTCTCGTTTTTCTCTCTACCGCCCCCTTTTTTCATTTTGAATATAGGCACTATGTTCTAAGTATAGGTTTTAAAAGCTTGACTAATTTAAAAACTTTTCATATGTATTTTCTCTCCCATTGGGATGTAAATTAGGCTTCTGAGTGAAGCACAGCTACATAAATGGAGAGGAGAACATTCTCCTCAGGATCAAAGTTGATAATCTCAGGGTGGATTTGAAATCAGTTTTAAATAATGATTTAAATCGCTGGTCAGGATACCTCTGTTCAATCATTGTTTTCTACAAAAAGTGCTTTCTTGTTGTTTGATATCCATTATTCATTTAACTTGTTGAAACTTTGCACTTTTAAAGAAAGGTAAGGGCTTGACTGTGCACAAACTAGCAGAGAGCGGAGAGGGCTGATGGGTGGGTAATCACCAGTCACTGTTATCTGTCATCCCCTTATACTGCTGTTAATTAGGATGTTACCTCTGGAGATGACAAACTCTCGCTATGCCTGAAGAAAGGGCATTTGTGCCCGAAAGCTTGCAAAGAACAATTTTTCCAATTATTTAGTTGGTCGAATAAAAGGTACCACATTTACCCAAAGAACATTGTTTGCCTATGATCTGTGGAGAGACAAATCCAGTTTGAGAACTGAAAATAAGCATCACAAAGATGCTTAATGGGATCTTCTAGACTGAGGTGACTCCCACTGGATAGAGTGGTTTTCTGTCACCTTTACTAATCTATACAGGAGCTTCTGGGACCCCATAAGATTGGGCCCCTAACATAATCCATGACCTGTTGTGACCTATTTATAAAACTTTTCTAAAAAGGTTACATGAATATATTGTTTCAAATAGTATATAATTAGAAGTTATAATCCCTATTCCATGATGATATCTTTGAGCTTTAACAGATCGTAAATTAAAACTATCTTTGTTTGTTTTTAAAACATCTTAACAAAAAATAAGATTAAATTTAAAAAATCTGATTTAAATAAAAAAATTCTGATTTTGTTTTTAAATAAAAAAATTAATCATTTATTTATTTATTTTTAATCCACCCTGGATAGTCTTGAATCCTGCTAATAAGCAAATGCTCCCTTTCCTTTCTATCCCATGTTCTCCTTGTTTTTTTGTTAATTCTCCATACAAAGAAGAAATTCTGTTCACTCTCACCATCAGCAGTGTAACTGGGGACTGGGTTTTAAGGGGAGCAACAGGAGCAGCAGCACCAGGTGCTGTTTTTGGTGTGGGGGGGAGAGGGGGGCATAAAAATCCCCACCACCACAGTGGTGGCTGTACATACTGTTGCAATTGGCACTGCCCTGCTACATCTCTGCTCACCCCCTTGCTTTATGCCTGAGTTAAAAGTTCCTCTTTTCTCAGTACAGTTTAGAAAGGAAGTATTTGTGTTTTGATGACGCACAGAGGTTTCTCAAACTGAAAGGAAATATAGACCTTGCTTGAAAGGACAGTCAGCTAATTGCTTCTCTTTTAGTAGGAGTTCAGTTTATTATGAACTATACCAGATTTTTTTTCCATTTTGTAGGCATAGATATCTATCTGTAAGGCACTGTTGCTGTAAATGGGTTACTTTGTTTTATAAATGTTTTCTAATTTGCCTGGGTTTCGGGGGGGGGCGGGGGTTGGTTTTTTTGCTAAAAATGTCTCCTGATTTCTTTTTTAAATCCATATTTAATACTCTGGTATCAGGCAAAACAGTCAAGCATGTTTATTTGTTTTAAGTGAATCAAAGTATATTTTATTGTTACAAAGGTGACTTGTACATTTTATGTTTAAGCGCAAGCTGCCCTCTGCTCTGTTACGCGCATCATGTCTTCAGATGTTTAAAAATAAAGAAGTGACCTAATAAGCAATTGGTGGTATAGAACAAAAATAATCAAAGGTTTAGTCAATAACTCATGGAGTTTTGTATTGATAAATTAATTAAACAGATTTGCCTGTGTTCCTCAAGTCTAATGTGGTCCTGTTATGATTAGTTTTATAGAAAGGAGTGTTGTAACATTGAATGAAGGTAAGTGATAAAAGAATAGCATAGTCACGAAGCCGTAAGTGCTCCCATTTCTAGTCACAGAGTGGTTTCAAGGAAAGAAGGCTTTCTTTGCACACCTGCAGTCATTCAGTGCATAGGCCTCTTGTGGTCAATGTTGATTGCTGCTTGTCTGTAGCAGAACAACAAATAATTTAGTGTGGTGTAACCTTCTGTGATTTAATATTACGCTTTTTGCCAGAACTGGCACAAAAATCTGTCTTTGGATAGTGACAATAATTATAGCACAGCTGTAGTTAAGGGTCTTTCAGAGTTTCCATTATAAACCCCTATAGTCAGTTTATAACAAACATGAAATTGTATTCTGTGCTTACTTGATATACAGAGGCTTTGCCTCAGTGAGTTCTGGTATAATTTTTTTAAAACTTGAAAAGATATGGGGGGAATTGAATTAAATTGAATGAGTACAAAAGAAATAATTCACTAGGAGTGTTTGTTTTTGTTTTCATTTTTCCTTTCTCCTTAATCTTTGGCTCTTGCATCCTTTATTAGAAATTGTGGGTTGGTAGCACCTTTTAAATACTCCTAAAAGGGCAAAGACAGCTCTGATTTCCTTTACTCTTCTTAATATTAAAGGATTTTTGACTTGTATTGTAAATCTAGCAAAAACAAGAAGTTTTGAATGACTGACTGTTTTTGCTGAGGTGCTGAGCATGCGATTACCCAGGGATGCTTAAATTACATTCTTTGGAATCCTACCTACTTTCCAACTCTGTCTTGCCTTTCAAAGAACAAATGTATTTGAGAACTTGTCTAGTCTTTATGCAGCTTTTTAAATTTATCAGGTTTTGATGTTCATGCTTTTGGGTTTTTTTGTTTTGTTGTGTGTGTTAGATAAAAAAGCTAGTGTATGTTTATCTGATGCGATATGCAGAGGAGCAGCAGGACCTGGCATTGCTGTCCATCAGTACCTTCCAGCGTGCTCTGAAAGTGAGTAAATTATATAGTACATTCTACTTGTATACCTGCCTGATAAATGTATACTTTGTTTAACTGGATGACCACAGTTGCGCTCTCAAGACGCTGCCTGTTGCTTATGTTATAACATACATGGGTTGTCTGCACAGACTGCTTAAGTACGTGCCACCTTTCAGTCCTAGTGGCACCTCTTAACTACACTTGCACTCTCTTTTAACTGCAGAATAATTAGCAGTACAAAGGGTGAAGCAAAAGCAGTTGTCAAATGACTATTTTTAGAAGCCTTGAAAATGAGGGAAACTAATCAGTTTTTGGCTGCTAATATCCCACCACTGGCAGTGCTACAGACTTAATGGGCACTCTAACATTCACTTTGGCTAAGTGCATAGCCTTTTCCAGTCCTGAAGCTACACACTCAAATGAAGAACATTGTAGTTAAAAGTGTAGGGTGTATTCTAATGGATTGTTACAAAATAATAGAATTCCAATTTAGTAAGAAACACTGTGTGTGGCAGTTGATTTATTAGTTCAAATGTGAGTCAAATGACATGACAGATTTTGTTGTCCTTTTTTAATAACTATCAATAAAGTAACTAGTAGTTAAATAGTTCTGTGGGGGGAAAAAAGCAGGATGTAGATTATCTACTTCAAAATGTTACACTCCTAATTAGAAACAGGAAGTAAAACTACCATTAAAACAAACAAACCTGTTTTTAACCAGGGTCATCAAAGACTAGAAGTACTATGTTTACTCAGATGCCACATGCACCTTTCCCCTAAAAACAGCCATCAAATTGGGATGTCTTTAAGCAGGGAAGCTGATTTTTTTTTTTTTTTTTCTCTTCACTAGAACAGAAGCATGGAGGTGCTGTGCTGTAATGGCTGCTACATCTCTTGGCAACAAGTAGCAGGGGCAGAGTCAGTGGTGACGTGTAGGAAGTGCACGTGCACCCCCTGTCAGGTTGTGCTCCCTGTGTAGGTGACCGGCAGGGGAGCAGGTGGGAGTGCTGATGCCCCCCCACGAGTGCTGGCTGGGGAGCAGGGTTGCCAGCAAAAGTGGCTGCACTGCTTCCAGAAGTGGCCACGGGACTTGTGGAAGTGGCACAGCTCCTTTTTAGTGAGTGAGATCGGCCATCTGGTGATTGGGCTCTGGGAGACGCAACACCCCCTCCCCCCCCCCGGTTGCTGACTGTTGTCGGGGGGCATGTGCCCCCCCTGACTCAAGTAGCAGCAGTTGACCATGGGCAGAGTCTAGACTTAACCCTTTCACAATTGCTGCAAATTGGCAGTAACTTTTAGCCGAGCAGCCAAAAGTTGCTACCAATTCAGTAGTAGTTCTGAAAGGGATGACACTGTAGTTTTTGCCTGAAGATCCATTGAGTTGGCTGGGGGCGAGTGATCTGCTGCATACATTCAGCTCTCAGGCATGACTTGGGAATGGTGGGGGGGTGGGATGGACACTTTGTATTCTGTAGTCTACCTGCCAGAAACAAGGTGTGTGTCTCATTTCAGGGCTTGTGATGCACACGAAAAATATGATGCATCTCTGTCCAGGTTTTTCCTTCTTCCCACGAAGGTCACCAGTGTTCTGGCTCTTTTCCCTAAGTCCAGTAGGAATTTGTAGTTTTTTGCTAATCAACTTTGTGCTTATAAATTACTACAAAACCTTTAGATGCCAGATTTGGAAAAATTGTATGGTGTCTGCATAACCCTGAACTTGTAGTCTGACTAGTAATGAAAAATGATATTCAGGTAGATTAATATGCCCACAATGGTTATAATAAACTCTCTGCATATATTTTAATGCTAAACTTGTGTTAACATTTTTTTTGTTTTAGGATCCTAATCAGTTAATCCGTGCAAGTGCTTTGAGAGTTTTATCCAGCATCCGTGTGCCAATTATTGTTCCTATAATGATGCTTGCTATTAAAGAAGCATCCTCTGATTTATCTCCTTATGTTAGGAAAAATGCAGCCCATGCAATCCAAAAACTCTATAGGTAAGTAGCCTTTTACCATGAATACTGAAAAGCAATTTTAAAAATCATTGAAGACTCTTGTTTTGTTTTAAATCTTCCAAACTGCCTCTTTAAAGAGGCAAAGAGGAGCAAGTTTTCAAAGGCACCTGATCACCCACCTCCCATTAGGTTAGTAAGAATTTTAAGTCCCTTTTGCAAATCTGTCCTCCAGCTCAACATAATTAATATTATGCTGTGGTTATGTAACATTTTTTCAATATAGAAGGACATCAATATATGCTGTTGCCATTCAGTCTTCAGGTCTGTGTGATTTTTCTGCATTGATATATAAGTATAGCAGAACTGCTCCAAACTTTAATCATGCTTCATTTAGGATCAGAGTTAGGATGATGAAGTATCTCTACAGGATCATGCAGAGAAATTAGATATTAACAGCTGCTGTGTGTTCCCAAGCAGCAGCTTTCTTTTCCCCTCTAGTGCAGCTAAAATGTATGCTTGTCCATATGCTGAAGCAACTAGTTAAAGTTAAGAACTTCTACCATGTTTATTGTACTTGTGGATTAGAAGAACATTGAGTACTTCAGAAATGGAAGCTTTATTTACTCTACTAATTCTAATATTATAAAAGCCTCTGTCTGTCTGTTATGCTTTATTTGTGCTCTGATTGGCTGACCCAGTGTGGGCCCAGGCCCAACATAGGGGGGAGGAGTGGGTGTGCCATGGTGACGGTAGGGCCAGGGGAGGACTGGGTCCGGGCCCGATGCGGGGGGTGGGGAGCAAGCCTGAGCCGGGGCAAAAGCTGGCCAACTGTGGGGTGGGGGGGAGACGCATAGCGGGCCAAGCCCGGCCCCTCCTGGCTTGGCCCAGCCCAGCCCAGCTCAGCACAGCACAGCACAGCAGCTGCAGGGGGAGGGGAGGAGTGAGCCTCCTCCCCCTCCCCCACATCAGCCCTGAGCCCAATCCTCCCATCCCCCCCTGCCAGGTAAACCTGGGCCCGCTGCTCCTCCCTCTGCCCCCTCACTCCTCCCCCCCACAGTAGCCTGGCTTCTCCCCACCCTTGGGCCTGGTCCTCCCCTGCATTGGGCCCTGGCCTGCTCCTTCCTTCCCCCCGCCACTGTCCTAGGGAGGGGGAAAGCAGGCCTGGACCCCAAACAGCAGGAGAGAAGGGGGAGCAGGCCCAGATGGGAAGGCCTGGGGCTTCGTCCCTGCCCCATCATTCTTGATGGGCAGTTGGCTAGTCAGCTACTAACAGCGAAGACCTCAAACACCAATGAGATTTGTCTTTGTCGTCTGGGTCATGTAGTGGCATGCACACACGAAGCCACAGGTCAGAATTTTCTTGACACTATGGATTTCTATATGAAATCTCTGGGTTTATCTTGTGAGTTGCATAGGTGTTTACATACCTAACAGTGTTACCACTATGTGGCACTCTCTCACACCTATATAAAGGACCTAATGTGGTACCATGGTCGAGAATTACTGCTCTAGAGGAGTGGTTCTCAACCTTTTTAGATTCAATGACCCCTCCATAACTTGAACTGAATAACATTCCATTTCAACAACTAATTTTATTTATGATAGTGTTTACCCGCTTGAAGATGGGCCAGGTTGGCGGAGGAGCAGCTGGCACACAAGAGCCTGTTCTTCAGTGAGTGAAGGCAGGAAGCTGGAAGAGACAACTGGAGAGCCAGCACTTATCTCCTTTCTCCTGGCAGTACCCTTCAAAGGCTGTCACAGCACCCTCACTTAGAGTTATAGCTGTGTTGTGGTTTTTCTGAGTTCTTTACAACAGAAGAATTGCTGTATTGTATTTCTGTAGCCAAAATACAAGTGAAAACTAAGCTGGCATTTTCCAGGGGGTGCCTGGAGTCTAACAAGGTTGAGAACCACTGCTCTAGAGGCTCCCAAGTGGCCAAAATGGTTCTGATTTTTTTTCATAGCCTTTTACCACCTGTTTGCCAGTGCCCCGTTTCACTTACCTGTCCAGTCATATTTCTTTATACAGAAGAGGGAACTGATTCAATACTCTATTCTTCCTTGCCTGCATTTAGTGGCATGGCTTCTGGATAAATGTCTGACCCAGAAAGAACATGTTTATTAGTAGTTCAATCAATCTCAACAGCAGGAAGCTTACATGTCCAAATGGAAAAGATTTCAGATGTGGTGTGAACAGCACTGTCTGTGTCCAGTGCAATCAACAATGCCTGATATATTGGACTAATTTTATCATTCAAAATTACAGGCCTCTTGCTCACTTCATTTATAGTACGCTTAGCAGCTCTTAGGTCTTCCATCAGTCTATAGACAATTCTACTGTATTCTCAGCACAAGTCTCAGTCAAATTTTTAATAGGACTTGCCAACAATATTGGTCAGTACAATGGTGGAATGTGGACATAGGACAAATTTACCATGGATAAAAAAGGGCAGTGATTTAATTTACTGGCAGCTGCCTTTTGGGTTGCTGCCAGTGTGTAAGCTCTTACCCCACGGCAAGTATAAGCTAAGCTGCAGTAGCTTAACCATCAATGAAAGAGGGCTGACTCTGTGATAAATTCCAGCCTCCTCTTGCCCTGGAGTAAATTGTTCCTGTCTGCCTGCAGTTTAATACTCAATACTGTCATAATTCTTTACTCTCATGCTTCCTTCCTTCACATCTCTTTTGAAGATGGCCCCCTTACAGTTATCAGTATCATCAAGAAGGTGGGAGAACTGGGAGCTGTGATGTCAGACCTCCTTGTAAGCCATTTTTCATTACAATAAAATTTCACTAAGGTCACATCTATCCACGGCGGTACCAAAATTAGCATTAATCAAATTATTAATTTATATTTGATTTAGGAAAGAATGCAGATTAATTGTGAGGATATGAAATTAGACATCAGAAAGGCATTTATCTGCAGAGATAAAACCCTTAAGATCTAAACAGACTAAGAGAGTAAAAGGGGATGCAGTTTCTATCAGTAAACTTTCAAATGCATCTCTAGCTATATTATACTTCGCTATGATTTATGTCAGATACCAGTGCTTAACAATATTAGGCGATACATTAATCAGGGTAATGTAAATTCAGTAGTATAAAAGTATCCCTCTTATTGACTGTATGCAAGGTAGCAGCAGGGGGTTTGATGCATACATTTTATAAAGCATAGTGCTGTTAGTATGGGCACTTGCTCAAGACAAAGGTCGTTGACCTTTTAGCAGTGATGGGTTGAGAATAGTGCAGTTTGGTCTGAAGGTGGGCCTCCACTTGTGACCTGACCACAGCCACAGATCTTTCCAGTCCTTGCTCCCCTCCTGGTGGCCCTATTTAGCTTGGTAGGCTGGAATTAAGCCAGAGGTTGGTAACCTATCTTTATTGATATAGTTGTTTTATGGTTTATACTCTGATAAGACATTAGGCATTCACTTTCTTATTTGACAATTCCTAAGTGGTATGCCCACTTTGGAGACAAGCATCCCAAGAAGAAAGATAAGCTATCTATTATAACTGAAGGGTTTTAAAAAAAAGTTCAGTCCATGTGTATTTTCACTAGATCTCCCCTCTTCCACCCCTTTCCCCCCCCGCCTTTTCTGCTTTTCATTCCTTTGTTGTATGGAGTCCATGGTAGAACAAAAACTGGAGTGACAGTTGGTCCCACATTACTGTTTATATACTTAGTACAGTGCACAAGGATATATGAGGAACCTGTGAGGACCAAGTGGACAGTGCTATCGTATTTCAGTTAGAACATATGCAGGGGCAAAATAGTGTTCAGTTATCATAAAAATAAGTAACTTTTTTCTTTATCCTATACTATCAGTTTAAGGCAGCAGTAAATTTTAGGAGTTTAGGCATGTAAGGCATTTAAATTCTTGTTTTCTAAAGCTTGCATACGGGTGGGTGTTTAAGCTTGCAATCTGTTTTCCAGTATCTTTGGTAACAACTCAATGCACATACTTCTGAAATTAGAGTTTAAAATTAAAACTATTGAAAGTTAGACTTGCATCTGAATCTGGTCAGACAATGAAAAAAGCAAACTTTAGACACCCAATTTTTCTAGATTCATGGATTCATAGATGTTAGGGGCTAGAAGGGATCTCTTGACACCATCAGGTCCAGCCCCCCTTGTGCTTGGACAGGAAAGACTGCTAGGGTCAGATGACTCCAGCAAGGTGAGTGTCCAGATGTTTTTTGAAGATATCCAGAGTAGGTGATTTGTACCACTTCTGGGGGAGTCCATTCCAGACCCTGGACACTTGTTGTAAAGAAGTTGCCCCTTTCACTCACCAGGATGTGGGTCCAGCTGCAGCTGTCTGTCCCCATGTTGCTTTCTGGCCTTGATATGCCAGTGCCCTGCCTATGCTATTGCCCCTCACTCCTGACCTGCAGTCCTCCCCCCCCCCCCCCAGCTGCCAGGGCGACAGGGCCAGGGTCTTGGGGCAACAGTCCCCTGCAGCAGCACCCAAGCCCCAATTGCCACCTGGTGGCGATGGTGGCTGCTGCAGCAGAATGGAGCACAGAGCCCAGCTCTCTCCCCTACGGGTGGCACTGCTGAAGTGGAGCCTGGGGTTGGGGCGGGAGGTGGAACAGTGCCAGCACTGTGGGGGGGAGCCCATTCCTGCCCCCACCCAATGCACAAATCTGGGGGGCACATGCCTCCTGGGAGTGTACGCAGTGGCAGGGAGCCAGTCCCACCCCCCACCAAAGCCCCCTAGGCAAACTGCCCATGGGCCTGTCCTACTCCTCACCCGGGCCCTGCAGCTGCGCATTCCAACCCCAAGCCCCATGCACCGCCTGGGCTGGGCAGCGCCCCCAGTTCCAGCCTTAGCCCTGCCCAACTCCCTCCCTTTTCTCCCTTGTTATGGGGACCATATTCCCCCCCACTCCTCCACCACCACTGCCACCAGACTTACCTGCGGGAGCTGCTCTCTGGAGTTCCTGGCCGTTGTGTACGTGTGCATGTGTGTATGGTGCCCCCTGCTGATTGCCCTCCTACCGCTCCGCCCAGCCCCTTGCAGGCTGGAATTCTGCCTGCCTGCAAGGAGAAACCCACCTTTTCTCTCATGTTTCTCCTCAAAATGAGAATCTGGGTTTTACCATATTTTTCTGTGGCATATGCCATAGGTGACTTCAGTTACCCAGACATGGATTGGGAGGAACACTTGGCTAAGTCAGACTGTTCACGCAGTTTCCTGACTGTGATTGAGGAGCTCTTCCTGACCCAGGAAGTGCAAGGGCCAACCAGAGGTAACGTTGTCCTAGACTTGGTTTTGGCCAAGGGAGATGATCTGTTGTGCGGCTTGAACATTGAGGGTAATCTGGGCAACAGCGACTATGAAATTATCAGGTTCACCATCTGCCGCAAGGTGGACAAATCAACCAGCAGGATTGAAGTCCTGGACTTCAAAAATACTGACTTTGACAGGCTCAGAGCATTAGTAGGGGAGGTGATGCAGGACCAGGAAGGGTAGGCAAACGGAGTATACGAAGAGTGGTCATGGCTCAAGGATATGATCCTCAAAGCACAAAAGAAAACCATTTCTGCAAAGAGGAAAGGTAGCTTAAGGGCTGGCAAGCCTTTCTGGCTTAATTGGGACATTGAGGTCTTCTTATAAAAGAAAAAAAGAGGTGTATGCACAGTGGAAGCTAGGGATGGTCCTCAAGGAGGACTATACAACAGTGGCCAGCGCTTGTAGGAAAATGATCAGGAAAGCCAAGGCAGTGAATGAGTTTTTAGGGAGTCAAAAGTTTGGGGAGTGAAGGACTATAAGAATTCCTTATTTAGGTATGTAGGCAGGAGAAGGAAAACAAATGAAAGTGTGGGGCCTCTGCTTAACACCTCAGGACAGCTGGCAACCAACATTTAGGAAAAATCTGAACTCCTGAATGCCCACTTTGCTTTGGTATTTCACTGGACCAAGGCAAAAGGCAAGTGAGATGACTGATAAGGGGCATGCCGGGAATGACAGCCTCCCCACTGTGGATGCTGAGCGCGTGCAATACCAACTAGAAAAGTTAGACATTTTTATAAGTCAGCAGGACCAGATGGACTCCATCTGAGAGTGCTAAAGGAGCTGGCTGAGGTCATCCTGGAACCCCTGGCAAAGCTCTTTCAGAATTTGTGGCACACAGGGGAGATCCCTGAGGATTGGAAGAGGGCCAACCTTGTGCCCATCTCCAAGAAGGGGAAGAGGGAGGACCAAGACAGCTATAGGCCAATCAGCCTAACCTCTATCCCAGGGAAAATCCTGGAAAAGCTTAGTAAAGGATCTGTGTGTGATTATGCTCGTGGAAGGTAAGATTCTGAATGACAGGCAGCATAGCTTTGTCACGGGTAGGTCTTGCCTTACCAATCTCATCTCCTTCTACGACCAGGTCTCTCGCCATGTGGACATGGGAGACAAGGTAGACGTTGTATACCTAGACTTCCAAAAGGCTTTTGATCTAGTATCCCATGATATCCTTGTGGGAAAACTGGAAGATTGTGGGCTCAGCTGCTCGACAGTTCAGTGGGTGGGAAACTGGCTACAGGGTAGGACCCGGAGAGTTGTCATGAATGGATCTGTGTCATCCTGGCGCAAAGTGGCCAGTGGTGTCCCTCAGGGGTCCATGCTTGGACCAGTGCTTTTCAACATCTTTATCAGTGATTTGGATGGGAGAGTGAAAAGTTTGCTGGCCAAGTTTGTGGATGACACCAAGTTATGGGGCAGTGTGGTCACGTCAGAAGATAGGTTGCAGATATAGGCAGACCTGGACAGGCTTGAGAGTTGGATATACCGGAACCAGATAAAGTTTAACACTTCCAAGTGTAAGGTGCTCCATCTGGGGGCAAACAACCTTCAACATGCATACAGGCTTGGTGGTGACAGCTTGACTTGCACCACGGGCGAAAGGGACCCAGGGATAATGACTGACCATTGAATGAATTAGCCGTCGGTGTGAGGCGGTGGTCAGCAGGGCAAATAACACGCTGGCATGTATCAAACTATGCATCTCGTGTAAAACTAAGGAGGTGATACTCCGAACTGGTGAGACCGCAGTTGAGGGGAGTTGATAGCAGCTTACCAGTATATCAGAGTAAATCAGGAGCTCAGTGAACAACTGTTCACTAGGGCACCCTTGGGGAAGACCAGGACCAATGGATACAAACTCCTGGAAGGCTGCTTCAGGCTTAATACCAGGAAAAACTCCTTCAGTCAGGGTGTCCAGACTGGAATAAACTCCCTTCAGAGGTGGTGCAGTCACCTACCCTGGAGGTTTTCAAGAGGAGACTGGACAGTCACCTCACTGGGGTCACTTGATCCCAATTGTCTTCCTGCCTAGAGCAGGGTGAGGCTGGACCCGATGACCTGCAAGGTCTTTTCCAGTCCCTAACAATCTATGAATTTGGAAAATGCGGCTCCCTGCTCATCAGTTACTTATCTGCATACTATAGAAATAAGAATCTGAACAACTTTCTTGCCATATTATTATAATTATTGAAGTCTTTGGTCTGTTTTTCCTCATTCACATGTTGTTTCAAAAATAATTCTGGGTTTTTTGTCTTAATGCTATTTCTTCTTTTCCACATCATGTTAGCTTGGCTTATTTTCACTTTAGGTACAAACATGACCATAAAGTATTAAATAACTTTATTTTTAAATGAATAAATGTTGTCCTTTATTTCTGTTTCTGTTTTTAGCCTTGATCCGGAGCAAAAGGAAATGTTGATAGAAGTGATAGAAAAACTCCTGAAAGATAAAAGTACGGTGAGTGATGCACATAATTACAGTATTGTTTTTACAAGTAGAATTATACTGTTTAGCTGCAAATGCACTCGCCTAATAATTGCTATAATTTAGCTTTTTTTGAGTGGTTCACTTGTTTCAGGCAACCTTAATTCTAGAATTTTCAGTATTTGTCTTTGCAACCTTGACTTTTAATGTAGCTTTAAATGTAACTGTGTTTATTTTATTTATTTATTTATTGAGAAATGTGATACTCTGTAAAGTCAGTATTGAAAGTTAACTCACAAAGGGACAGGGTTAAGTTTGATGTATAGTCATAGTTTTGGTGTTTGTAGTGCTTAATGTTATAAGAACCTTGTTGTTTTTTATAGATATTTTTAGTATTGTCATAGGGTTTTCTCTTTAAAGGGAAAAGATTAAGACCTGAGGAAAGTAATAATTGCAGAAAAAATCCATTCTTTGAGTTTCAGAGACTTTTTGCTCCTTTGAGGTCAAAAAAGCAAAAATGTTTTAAATCAGTAACTTGGAATTATTTGCCTTATGTTATTAGCTTAGAGAAACTCCATAGGAGTTAACATTTTTAAATGCTTCTGTGAGCAGGGATACTTTCATGCTTCAGAGTATGTTGGGAGCAATATATCTTTAGGCAGACAAGGTTCCTTGGGTGAATCTGATATCTTTTATTAGACCAACCCAGATTCACCCAAGGAACCTTGTCTGCCTATGTCCTTAGACCAACACGGCTACAACCTACACCCGTATATCTTTAGGTACACTTGAACAGAATCCTTCCCATGTGTGCCTTACAAAGTGAATCCAGAAAATCGTTCTAACCCCTCTTGTGCTTTACTACAAATATGTATGTACATGACCCTGTTCTACAATTCTCTCTCTTTTCTGATTCAAAACAATCTATCACAGTAGTTATTCAGATCCCTAATCCTGGATAGCATTTAAGCAAGCGTGCTTAAGATAAGCATGTGTGGACTTAAAATAAGTGTGTGTGGAGTCTTCCATGGGATTACTCCCATGCTTGGGTTTAAACCATGTACAAGAATGATTTCCTGTATCAGGTCTCTTCCTAAGTTTCATTCAGCCTGCTTGCAGGGCCATCTTAGTTTATGAGTGTTGACTGATTTATTTACTTCAGCTCCCTCATACCTAAACAAATTTTCATTATGAGAATTTACTTTATAAAATTGACCCCATCACATCCTCAGCTGTTTTAGTCGAGCCTCCTACTTTTTAAAAAATGGCCGAATTGTTCTTGCTGAAATACTAAAATGTTAACTTTTGGGCCCTTTGTGAGTGTGCTTAACTTTACTTTGATCTACCTGTATTTTGACTACTTGTAGCCTTCATTTTTTTCTGAATACATTATGAAAAATGTTCTGTAAGAATATTAGGTATTTTAAATAAGGAAAAAAAAAAAAGGCTATTTGTCTAGGTGCAGACAATAGTTAATCTTGAATTTGACTGCTGTAGCACTGACATTATATGAGCAGGGTACAGCATTTTCAGTAGCATTAGGTTTCCTCTGTTTTTTGTTTGGGTAGGAGAGAGAACACTTCTTATGAAGCTTATGCCAGTGAAGGGGGGTAGTGTTTATAGGATGCAAAAACTTCTTAAACACTGAATGAGTTGGGGCTAAACACATTTCTAAATAGCTTCATATAGATATGCTTTTTTGCTGTTCAGAATTGAGAACAGGAGCTAGCTGACACACGTTACTTAACTTTCTGTGGCTCTTTGTGAACTTACTATTTTTGAACACTTAAAATATTGCATTTTGAAATTTGTATTTTTAGCAGAAACCTCAAGCTCATGCAGTTTAAGCACTACAGGAATGCAGCTGCTTATATTTTCATCTTCATAGTGCTGAAGTCAGCAACCCCTGGTACATATGCTGAGCATGGCATGCAAGGCCATTTTGCTCGGCACACCACCACCAGCCTGGGGTCTAAGCAGCTGCTGCCAGCCACCCCTGGGCCAATCTGCTTCAACCCCTGCCCAGTGCAGCCTCCACTGAGACATGGCAATAGACAGTTTTTAGTGGCTAACTCAGTAAGCAGAGGCTTCATTGTTGGGGGAGAAAGCAGCCCTCTTCATGGAACTGGATCTGGGATTGCATGTAATCCTCTGTAGGAGCTGGCAGCAAGTAGATCAGTAGTTCATTAGTAAAATGCAGAGTGTGAAATACAGACTGAATCTGACAGCATGCTGGTCCCCTGTTGCAGGCCAGCTGTTAATAAAACAAGCCAGATAATGGTGATCCAGTCTCTTTGCAGGCCAGATTCTGCCTGTGGCCTCTAGGTTGCTGACCCTGGCTTAGAACCATCATTACTATGGGTCTGCCCAACTTGAGGAGGCAGCCAGCTGACTTCACAAGGAGATTGCAGGGCCAGCTGTCGTTTTCATGTGTTGATTGTGGAGGGCCCCCATGCACCTCTGCCTGAGGGCCTCCAGTGGTCCTGTTCCTTGTTGCTGATTGGATGCAAGGACTGTCCATCATGTGGCCCCACCCATTGCCACCAGTTGGTTCCTCTGGGGAGCCAGCGTTTTGTTTTCAGTAAGTTTTTTTCCCCCCCCATGGATTTCATGAACATTGCCTGTTTTCACAAGCAGTGCTGGATTTCACAATTTCTGCAAAATCCATGTAATCTTGATTTCAGTATGTCTCTAAACATTACCAAACACATTGGCTATGGCTCTCTAGTCACTGTAAATGTTTAATGCACTTGCTATTGTGCCTTCTTCCACTCAGAGGTAGTCTTTCTAAATGTTTTGTTTAGTTTTGTTTTTATTTAGGCAAAGGGAATATCCAAGAAAGCAGGATTTTTATAGGAAGAGTGTTTTTTTTGGTGTTTTCTGTCTCTCTCATATCCTTATTGGTCCTCGCTTAATTGTGCGCCCTGGCGTACACGGCCCTATTTCTGCAAGAAAATACCTATCTGTCTTGTCTTTTGCAATTAGATCTTTTTTAAGAAGAAGTATAGGTCTAACCAGCAACAGAAAAAAGAGAGTGAAGATCAAAAGACAAAGTGGAAGAACAGTAGTGGCAATTTGCTCATCTTTTCCCTGATAAGGCAGTCAGTCATTTCATGCCCTGTCTGACAGATGGCTTCAGAGCATTCCTATAGCCTATGGAATGCGTATTTGCTGCAATGATGGGGAACTGTTGCAGTGATGCTGGAGAAGTTACTTGAACTCATATATGTTATGTAGACTTCTGTGCCTGGCATATTCATTCTGTTTATCAGGGATTGGTAAAGCCTGCAAAGAACTTGTGGCAGACTCCTGCATTGATATTTGCTATTTCAAACAAAGTTGATACCATGCATGCTTTTATTTACATCCCATGTCAGGTTCATTTGGATCTGTTTTTCAAAAAGGATCCAAGCAACAAGAGCTCCTGAAGACTGGATTGATTTGGCAGAGGAAGTGTTCTTATCTTTCATTCTCCAGATGCACATGGCAAATTACCTGTTTCTGGTGAAAAAGCAGTCAAGCTGTCTCAATTTATAGAAAGACTTCTGCAGAAGCAAAAAAAAAATATTTAAATGATCATTATATAAGGGCAACTGACAGCTAAACTTCTCTGCCATCAGCTTGAATGCCTTTGACATATTTTGGGGATCTAGCTCCAGTTGTCGTACTCAAGAAAGTCCAGATCATAAAAAATAAAATGATTCATTCCAGGGCTGCAGCATCTTTTATCTTTTAAAAACTGAGGTGGCTCTCTGTTCATTAAATGACTCAAAAGCCACGTTGAATTATCTGGGATTTGTATGGCCTTATCTTGTGGAGAAAGCAAATCAGACTACAGAGTGCCTTCAGTCAGCACCTCTGTTTCCATACTGTTATAATCCATACAGAGTGCTGGACATTCCATGGAAGCTTTGATATTTCACAGCAGAAAACCCATCACCTTCCTTGGACTTGGCGTGCTTGACACTTTTTTGCCATTGGGTTTTATGTTGCAATTCAGTCTGACAGAGATTTTGGAGGCACTCTACCATTTTTTCCTGCTTTTTTGGCAACCACTTCCCATTTTAACAAAGCATGGGCTGGGGCAGTCCAGTAGAAAAGGCTTGAAGCATTTTAATGCCTTTTTCACTTCAACCTTCTCAAATGGTTTCATATGATGAGTGCAGTTGACATTGAAGATAAGGAAGGAGGAAAATAGAGGAAGAACTGGTTAGGGATTACTTAGACAAGTTAGATGCTTTTAAGTCAGCAGTGCCAGGTGGAATACACCCTATATAGTACAGAAAGAATTGACTGTGGCAATATCAGAGCCATTTTTAGAACTTGTGGAGGTTAGATGAGGCCCTGGATGACTGGAAAAGGGCAAATATAGGATTTATCTTTAACAAAGAGAAGAAGGAAGATCTGGGCAATTAGACTAGTCAGTCTGAGTTCAATATCTGAAAAGATCATGGTCATCACAATTGTTTGAAGCACCTGAGAATAGAACAGCTGGCATGGATTCATAAAGAGCAAGTCATGCCTGATCAACTTGATTTTTTTTTTCTGTGAGATGGTGACAGACAGGATGGGGAGAGAGCACTGGATGTGATGTACCTTGATTTTTTTTTTTTTTTTTTTTTTTTTTAACAAGGCTTTTTATATCGTCTTCCAGAACACTATTCTTATAAGCTAAGAAAATACAGACTAGATGAAAGTACTGTAACGCAGATGCAGAACTTTTTGAATCATCATGCACAATGAGTAGTTATCAACATCTGGAAGGTATCACGTGGGGCTGCCAGGGGTCTCTCCTGGGTCTGGTATTGTTTAAAATATACATTAATAATTGGGAAGATGGGATTGAGTGCCTGCTTAGTGAATTTGTAGGTGACACTAAGTTGGGTGGAGATGCAGACACTGGTGTATAAAGCCAGGATACAGAATGACCTGAATAGGCTGTATTCACAATCCAGTCTTTCAGTTACACAGTCAGTCAGATGTATGTGTCCTTGTTGAATTTGGAAGTTCTGCACTTGAGATGAAACAATTGTATGCACAAATGCAGACTGGGGAATGATTGACTAGGCTGTGGTACTGCAGGGAAGGACTTTGGTTACAGTGAACCATAACCTGAATGAACAAATAGTATACTCTTCTTGCAAAAAAGAGCCAACAGCTTACTGGGTTGTGTTAACAGGACCATCACTTGCAAATTAAGAAAAGTGATTCTTCTTATGAGGAAAGGCTGAAAGAATTAGGACTATTTCATTTGAAGAAGTGAAGGTTGAGGGGCGCTTTGATTGAGTCTTCAATACCTGAAAAGTGCTAAGCAGGGACCTGGTTTTCGCTATTTAAAAATCAGTTTCTCTGAGAGATCCCAAATTATCTGATTAAAAAAAACCCCCAAATCCACATTTTTCTGTGATTAAAATAAAGTGTATATATGTATCAGTTGAACACAATGTTTTATTGATAGATGTACAATTTTAAAGCAACTTGGAAGCGTACCAGTGCCTTAATTGCTATAATAAAATAAATTCTAAATATCTATATATTTTGGTACTTGATTTCTTATTTTTTAAACTGGAAAGTAAGCGTTCCCCCTGCTTGCTTTGCTCACCAGGATGCAGATGCCCCCCCCCCTCTGTCCTGTCCACCCCCACTTTGTAGTGCTGAGCAGCCCTGATATGCTGGTGCCCGGCCTCTGCCCATGCTGTTGCACCTCAGTCCCAGCCCACATCCCCCTTCTCCTCATGTGCCCCTCACTCCCCAACCCACAATCCACCCACTGTAGCTGGTGCCCCTCACTCATGACCTGCAGCTCCCTGCCCACCCCCCCAGCCTTACCAGAGGGGGTCCCTGGCTGTGGGACCAGGGACCTGGGTTCACAGATCCTTGACCATCCCTCCCAGCAGCACCTGAGCCCTGCCTGCTGCCTGAGGGAGGTGGCTGCTGCAGCTGGAGCAGAGCATGGACCCTGGCTCCCCCCGCCCCACAGGAAGCATGACTGGGGGGGTGGCACAGGCAGGCTGCCTGCTGCAAGCTCAGGGCTACCTACCCTGTTGCCCTCCCCCCAGGGCCTCTGCAGCTCAGTGGGCGGGACCTGGCATGGTAAGGAGACTTGGTGCTGCCATTGGGAGCTCCCTGTTCACCCAGCAGCAGCAGGGGGCACAACTCCATGCTGCCACCCTCGCTGTTGCCAGGTGGGTAGGGAGCACCTCGCCATGGCAGCACGGGGCTACCAGTAGTAACATCAAGCCTCCCTTCCCTGTTCCGCCCTGCCACATCAGGTCCCACCCACTGGGCTATGGAGGAAGTGCAGCAGGGTGGGGAGCCCCCCATCTCCACTGCCCATGGCTCTGTCCTGTTTTCGATCTAGCCCCTGCAGCTGTACATGGCCACCCCAGCCCCAGGCCCCACTCACTGCCCTGACTGGGCAGTGCTCTCAGCCTCAGCCCTTCCCAATTCCCTCCTTCCTTCCCTCCTTCACTGTGGGGGGCTCAGTTCCCCTCCCCAGACTTACCTGTGGGGAGCTGCTTTCCATGCTGCCAGGCTGCCATGCACATGTGTGCGTGCTCATGTGTACATGGTTCTCCCTGCTTAATCAGGTGGCAGTGATAGAACAGATGGGGTGGGGTGGGGGGTGAGGCCACCAGAGTTGGCCTTGCCCCCCCCCCTTGCTCCTTGGAGGTGCCAGTGGCAGGGTGGGGGGCAGGGGGTTTGGGACACCATGGGTGAGGGCAAGGCCACCAGTGCTAGCCTTGGCCCACCTATCGCCCCCCCATACATCATCACCACCTGCAGGGCCAATGTAGGCCGATGCGGCAGCAGTTGGGGAGGAGCGGGCCCGACGCAGGGGGCAGGGCAGAGAGTGGACATGGGTTGGGGGAAGGGGAGGTATGGGCCCGGGCCCAATGTGGAGTGGGGAGGAGCTGGCCCATTGTGGCAGTGGAGGGGGAGCAGTGGACGTGGCCCAATGCGGCAGTGGTGGGGGGACGGGTGCCCTGCCTTCGGGCCCAGGCCCACTCCTCCCCGACCCCTCAACCCCCACATCTGCCCTGAGCCTGCTCCTCCCATTTCCTCCACTGCTGCTCTGTCATCCCAGGCCTGCTGCTACCCCCTTTGCACACCCCACTGCCTTGGGCCAAGTTCTCCCCGCTCTCGGGCCAAGTCCTTCCTCAGACCCTCCCCCCCCCCCCCCCATACAAGCCTTGGTTCCCCCCCTT